CTGGAGAATGGCTAGGCAGGGATGTTAGGGAGTTGATGCACCTATTGGTCTCTCATGGTGGGGGTTGTAGCTAAAATATATACCTATGCACCAGTATAAATGAAACCTGTGTGAAAACTGATACTAGTGCATCAGGCAAACCTATAGGGTATGGGGAGATGGCTTTGCATTCTAGGAAATTCCATACCATTGTCAGAAGAGCTCTGCAGTAGAATGCAAACTTACATTTGCAAGAAGTGTTATTTGAAGGATGTTTACAACTTCTACAAAAATCCAGCTTGGCTGGAACAGAATTATTGATTGGGAGTACTGTTTGCAAGGCTTATAGTGAATTTTAATGGGACATCAAGGGCTGGAAAAGTTCCAGGTATGCATGGTTCTAAGAATGAGAAATTAACTGGAGATGGCTCCTAGAAAATATTCAAACCCTTCTTTCAGTTCAGTGATTCCCAGTGTGGCTGACATATTGCAATGAATTCAGTAGTATGCCTAAATAATCAAGACTGAAGGCAAGCGCTGAATGAACATGTTACTAACCTTGGTAGATTCCAGCAATCATATTGGCATGTACAGATAAACGGGTGATTCTATGGGGTCTGCTAAAAAACTAATATATTATTATTATTATTATTATTATTATTATTATTATTATTATAATAACATTTCTATGCCGCCCCTTGCCGAAACCTCGGGGCGGCTTACAACATGATAAAATACATTGAAATACAATATAGTAGCTGTTGCTTTCAAATATATGCCATATGTAGGGGGTGCTTTTAATACCAACAGCTGTTGTGGCACAAATGCTTCAGTAATCAATTTAGATTTGCATCAATGCCGAATGCACTTCAAAAGCTATAGCATGGGTATCCACACTGTCAGTGGTTCCAGATCTGGGGACAGCTTGCATTTTCAGGTCAGTGGCATTTCTATGGGTATTTAAATGGCCCAACAACATGCCAACACATTACAATGCTATCTTAGCTCCTGACCCTGACAGCCTCTCTTTTGCCTGAGATATGACATCTGCATTTATGGGAAGAAGGCCCCTGGAAAATTCTGCCAGAACTACACTAATTTTCAGCCCATCACCAATCTGAGCCTGCAGAAATCCACTAAGCAGGTCTAGACACTACATTGCAACTATACGAAGGGCCTCTTCATGCCACAGTATATCAATAAAGCCACCACTAAATTTACTTGTTTCAAGCTACCATGGAGAGCACAGCATCTAATCCATTGCTTACAGAGAATTCCAGCTATAACTGCATGTTCTCCTGTTCACTGAACAGAAATAAACCCCAGTAGGGTTTACATCTGTATAATGCCAACCCGAGACAGTGAAGAAATAGATTAACAAGACCAGATGGGTACCCAGGAGCAGGCCACTGCCATTCTCCAGCTAAAGCTTCTCCAACACATCATTAAGGATCTACAGCTTATCCTAGAATGATTTTTCCCTCATACAGAGGCATAGGGAGAAAAGGCCTGTCTTGGTTTACAGATAGCTTCCCCATCAACCACAAGCAACTATAGGTGACTCAGAGATACATCAGTGTCATCTGTGTTTACAAAACTACTTGACTGAAATTATCACAAGATTCAATACAGTCATTCCATTGAGGACCTACCTACTTTCTTATGTGCCAGCAAAGCCTTTCTGCCACTTACAGTGGCTAAAATGAATTGTCTGTGAAAGAGACAACGGGCACAATTTGGACATTAACCATGCAAATCTGTAAATGTCTACTTAGAACTCAGAGTTCAGTAGGATTTACTTCCAAAAAGTGAATATATGATTACAATGCAAATGTGCAATCTGAGGCATATTTATTCAGAAGGAATCTCACTGATTTAACTCCTTAGTACGGTAATCTTCCCTATTTTTAAGCAAAAGCACAGAATATCAAGGCACTGATGCTGAAGTGAAATAGGGACCTTTCCCAGGCCCTGAAAGGCCTTGCCTCTTCTTTCTTCCCCTCCCCCCACAATCACTGTGCACTAGAACATTGCCATACTGCAAATAATCTGAGCAAGCGTGTGAGTATGAAAGACCAAGAGGTAAACCTGCCAGCTCTGGGAAGTCTAGCCCAAGGCAGCTTATACAAGTATAATTTGTTAGTCTTTTACACACCACCAGATCTTTTGCTTCATTACGCTGCATTGTTACAGAAATTTGGACATATCTCTTTTGGATTAATATAACAACAAACAATGGATGGGAGGAAAACTAAATACAACTATTTATTTTTCCTCTCATATCTTGGTCTTCTACCTGGGAAGAAATGCTTGTTCTTAAGCATCAGTTGTCAAATTCAGCAGCCATGTTTGTCAACATTGGTTCAATCTTAGCAACGGAAATTTCCATGTATGCTTGCACTATTAGAATGGAACCAACAAATGGCTAAGTGTATTAATCAAAGAGCATTGTTGAGATTAGAAGTGAGCAACTTACATGTGGCATTATGTGATTATTGGGGAGCAGCACATGCACATTTATCCATAGACATGCTCACAAAATTTCCTTTCCCAATCCTGAAAACTGGGTTGCTTGGAGAAGGAAGAATTTTTAACTTTGCCTTCCTCCCAGTTGTCTTGATCAAAATTGCTGGGATAGGGGTGTTTAAAGCCTCCCCTCATCCCAACAATCCTGCCAATGAGGAATCTTTAACTTTTCCCCATTGCAGCAAGATTGGAAATGGGGAAGAGGTTACGTTATCCAAACTACACTTCTGGTCTATTCTGTAACTTGATGGGGCTTGAATGTTATACCATAAGGAATTAAAGTTGGAAGAATTGTTTGAAAATGAAATAGAATTTCCAGCTGCACTATTAGATGTAGCTTGGCTAAATATCTATCCAAACTTAGTCAAAATTTAGGCTGTAGTATTGATCAAACCTAAATTTAAGTTCCACTTAATCCAGTGGAACTTTCTTCTCAGCAAACATTCATAGGCTTTTGTTGTTAGGCAGCAATAAATCTGATTCATTATTACACTTCTGTAGATATCTAGTCAGACAGCACCTCAATACAAATTATAAATAAAGTTATCAGAAGAAAGTTGGATGCATTCATTTTCTGAATAATTCAATTAAGCAGGAATATTTTTCTCAAGCTGATTTCAAAGTCTCCACTCATTCCACCCTATCCTGACCTATACATGTCAGCAAGTTCCCATGCCACTATCACCACTCCCTATATACCCTAGGTGATTCTGGGTTGTCAACAGGTATGGAGGGGACACTGGTTGTTTTCCTGGGAATGAGAATGTTTCCTGAGATGGATCCATGTACTTGTCCAGCTAGCAGTATGTCTTGCTCCAGGTCTGGGTTCACTGTTATTGTTACAGGGAGGTGTTGGCTTCCCAAATTTGGTGCCCAAAGATGCCAGTGTTAAATTTGGTGCCCAAAGATGCCAGTGTCAGATGTTTTCTGATGGTGAGTTGATGGAGCATTCATTTTGCTGTGGGTACTTTTACAGTCCTTTGCTATAAATGAATGAACCTCTCTCTATGGGACTTCCCTGCATAAAATAAGCCCCATTGTATCCAATGAGATTTACACCCAGGGAAGAGTATATGACAGAGCTGCAGCCTTAGGGCTGTAATCATTTTAAGCCTGATTAGCTTGGTACATTCCTTTAATTAATAATTTAAAGTATCCAACAATCAAAATTATCCGGCTGGTATACTAAACATAGAGTGCAAGCAAACAAGCAGATAGAAATTGTAGCAGAACAAAGTACTAAAAGCAATAAAAGTAGTTCTTAAGCTATCTGGGGGAATAAAAATATCTTCACCTGGTACCAGAAAGACCACTAAAATACCTTTACCAAATGGGTAGAAAGTTAAACAGTTGAACCTTTCCCCACCACATTGCACACATTCTGGGCTCTGTCAACTAGCAGGGGACTATGAGGCTGTTCCCCTGCCTTCAGAAAGGGCATGGTGGTGGCAAGGGAAAGGCTAGCCCTTCACCCCTTCCATTGCTAAAGCAGGAACACCTGCAGAGATGAGCTCCCTTCTTCCTGTCACTAGGATTCTTCATTACTAAGACCTAGTGGCTGAATTGGCTGTGTTCTCCTTTCCTTCCAATCCCTTTTCATTTTGTGTAGTGTCTTTTCAATTATAAGTCTGAAGGCAGGTGCTGCCTTATTATTGATCTCTGTAAACCTCTTTAGGAACCTCTTTTAGGTGAAGAGTAATGTCAAACTGCTAATACTAATAACCAAGATAGTATACGCACTAGTTTTCTCAAGATATACTTATTAGTTTTTTCGAGCATCTTGATGCTAGAAAGGAAAAAAAATATGAGTTGAATTTCTGTATTCACAAATCTGTTCATGACACAGGTATCACAAACTCACAAGAGGAACATTACCACTAAGGGAGGGGCAAAGTGAGCGTGTAAGACCACATCCCCAGGGGTAATCCTTGCTTGAGTGGAGATTTCTGTAGGAGTCCTCATGCTGATGGTGAAGGAGTTTGAAGACAACCAGAACCATGGCTGCAGTCAAATGTGGTTGGCAGCACACCATTTTTTTCTGCATGCCTTTCATTCTCACACTCGCCTTTCCCACCCAGTAAGTTGCCGATCGCTTTTGCACTTTTGAAATGCGGATGAAGATTGCCCACCCCTTTTCTAATGCATCTTATTCTGCCCAAGGAACTGTTGCTATGGTTACCCATGTTTTCTTCCTCTTGTTTAAGGCTGCTGTGTAACACTTATAAAGAAAATAACGTCCATTTTTAACTGAGTGGGACTTTCTCCTACATTCGCAAGATTAAGATCAGCTTGTTAGAGAAGAAGCCAAGTCCCCATGTCTACAACAGTTTGTACCCTGCACGCACGCGGATACAACTGCCCCAGCCAACCGCCGAGCACGCGAGGGAAAACTCCGGCCCGGCGCATGCGCGCTGCCTACAAGCCACCCACGCCTGTTAGCCGTGTAGTCCCGCCTCTCGACCCCGTCCTACGTGGGGTCGCGAGCGAGCGGAGAGGGGGCGGCGAGAGACGCGGGGCAGCCGGTCTCTCTTTTCTGCTCTTCAGTCGGATGGGGCCCGCCTCGTTTGCGCGGGGAGTCGCTTGAACTTCTACCGTTCCCTCCGTGCTCGTCATGAGGCGTAGCGAGCGGAGAGGTCATGGAAAGGCAGCTCTGGAGGAGGAGCCGCCGCCGCCGCCGTCCGACGGCGCTTCTTTGCCCGTGTTCGGGGGCTCGCCGGGGCATCGGAGAGACCCGCCGCCGGCTGCCGAAGCAGTCGTAGGCGCCGCCGCTGCCGTCCCTCGCGGCGACCGGCGCAGCACCGAGTCGGAGGTGTATGACGACGGAACTAACACCTTCTTCTGGTGAGAGGGGAGGGGAGGGAGGGTCCCTTTTCCTCGGCGTTACTCTCCTGACTGAATGGACGAGCCTAGACTTCGGGATCGACGCAGTACGGAAAATTATTTTATTTTAACACCGCAAGAACATTGTTAAACGTCTACATTAGCCGAGCGCTGTACGTAAAATAAAGACGCTGGGATGCTCAAGGGCTAGATATAGGATGGTAATACCGAGCAGAAAGTTACAGGTGGGAAATTAGTCTGAAAATGCCGGAATCAGGCAGGTTTTCCGTTTGTTTACAGATACTTAAATTTGTGAAGGCCAGGCTGATCTAGCTTTGCTGGCTTACTCCCGCCCCTTGAAGGGCAGGCATGGCGCTTTCCACGATGCGTGCTGAATCTCTTTTATGAATTACTGCTGCCTGTTCTCACCTGCTGAATTCCCGCTCTAGTTAGTGCTGCCTCGCGCCCTATTCTCCAGCTCTGTCCCTCAGGGATGTAATTAAGATTACAGTTAATAAACAGTTCTTGTAGGGTAAATACCACTGAATTCTGAGTAAACCTGGTTGGCATTGCTCTCTAGTTTATTCCCTCCACGTGCACATGCAATATTTCTTACTTACTGGTCCCTTCCTATCCTGCATCTGCTGCTCTGATGTTCTATAATTATTTGTGGAATTCACGAACTTAACGGAATATTTGAGAATATAGTAAAATCTTTGAAAGTCAGTAAATCTGTAGCAGTAAAAAGGGACAGAAAGTGCATCCCTAATCATTCTTGGGAATATATTAAGTTGGCATTCAATCAGCTTTGATTTCTGTGTAAACATATTTTAGGCTGCACATAATTTGTACATTTGTTGTGGAATGACTTTTCCTAGGCAACAGCCTACCAAAACTGGTTGAAAAACAAAGTCCCAAGCTTGCATCAGTTTCTTCCAGAAGCATATTGATCGGAACATTTACCTGCATTGTTTATGGAGAAGTGTTAGAGCACATCTCCAATTAAGTGTTCATGTTTAATGGCATCTGCTTGGTACTTCAGATTTCCTTCTACTACTCTGGCTTTAACTTAGTTTCTGTTGATCATCTGGATTAATGATTTCTTACAGGGACCTTTGGGGAAGGTCATAAAATTCTGCTGTAGACAAGCAGCCTCAGGAAGAGATGGAAGAGAGTATTTGTAAAAGCACACTAACTGGTGATTCCTCATCAGTGATGTGGGGCAGAGGGGTTTCTGCTTTATTTTTCCACGAAACATTTCCATTTTTTATGACTTCATTAACAGTGAATAGATACCAGTTGCGTATGTGATGTTAGGCAGACTTGGAACTTTCAAAGTTGTAATTAATGTTATTTGAATGATTATCCCTAGTAGGTATGAGAATATATATATACATCATAAAAATACATGAATGTCTTAGTGTGAAGTAGTCAGAGCAGAACTGGAGAGTCCCAACAACTTCAGTGGGAAAAAACTGAATTAATCCTGAAATACATGAGTGATTGCTAACATATACAAAAATTTAGGTTGTTTAGCAGAATAGTAAAAAATTAAGCCTAGTAATTACATGAGCAATAATTCTTTTTCTCTCAATTCATTGATATATTTTAGGTGAATTTTTAAAAAAAATCCTTACAGTGTTATTTTCTTACCATTGTAACTAAGTCATTCTTACCTAGAATATTATATCTGGTAAAGCAGTTACACTGTCACACCCACAATGGGTAAAACCCATGTGTTTCTTATACAGAAACTGGTAATGTAGAGAGTAGTAAATCTTGTAAATGCTATCTGATATTAAACACAAGCCTCAGAAAGGCCCTTTCCACTTGGCAAAACATTTCAATGATGGAATTGGAGAATAGTTCCCCTGCCCCCCCTCATCCCCTAGCCTCCCAGCCCCATCCACTCTGAAGGGTTTGGGAATTCTCTGGAACAACATAGGTGGTGATGATGGGGCTGCAGGCGGAAATGGATCAACAAACTTCCAGCCATCCAGTGTTTCCCAGATGGAATTCCACTCAGTCAAATCCTACTGGGAGAGGAGAAATTCATACAAGTTTTGGAAAAAAAAACCTCATAAATGCTTCATCTTCTGTTAAGCTTTATGGATTTCAGTTGTCTTCTTACTTTTGCTACACACTTTGCTTACAAAAAAAAGAGAATAGTTAGCTTTAACCTACTGTTAAAAAAAGTGCCTTTTCAAAGATAGTAGAGAGCTTAGCTTTTCTGGCTCTGCAAAAGACATAGGAAAAGCCTGGACTGTGAATCTAACCTGTCTTGACAAGAGCTTGGCTCTGACCTGTCTAGTCTTGGCTGTAATGGAAATAGGAATGTGTTGACCTTGACAGCTCCACTGATATTCAGTGACAATTCTGTAAGCTTAGAGTGTGCCAGTCGAAGAGGTTGTAGAGGTTGTTGCATTCCAACATAATATCTAAGAGCAAAGAGCTGCAGTTTCCTAAGTTCAACTGTTTAGGAAACACCATATTTCATCAATGCTCAGGGAAGTGTCACAGAGAACATCCTGGGAACAGCCTGGGTTGGCAGAAAGAGTAATCAAGTAATAAGATCTTGCTGGCATTTTGGCATAGCCTACTTTAAATGGAAAGCTGGTAAAATTGTCACTTGATGAATTCCTTAATGCTATTTGTTTAAAATAATGCATCTTATTGCTGAGATTTAGTATTTTCATCCCAGTTGATGACATGGTTCATCATTCTTGGACAATAAACTTGTCTTGAGACCCTTTTTAGATTAAAGGCTTAAATTCATTTTGCCAGTGTTTGATTCTGCTCTTTTGATTAGATCTTTTCATTTATTCTACAAATATACCATTTCTGGTGAGTACTGTTGGGTCTGATGATACTCTGTTGTACCCTAACTTTGGTAAATGTCCAAAAGGGAAATTGAGAGCAGACGGTCAGAATTTTGATGCATTTCTTAGTATCCAGTGGTAACTTGATCAACCTACATGCATCAGGAAGGACAGGTTGTACATTTACAGTTGTACATGCATGGTTGTTGGGGATGGGGTTGGGAAGGTGTGTACAGTGAGTCTGGTACAAGTGGAACGGGTTTTTATAAGCATTCCTTTAGTTCATGGCATTGCTAAGCAAAACTCATATGTAAACAAACAGTTTCTTTTGTGAGGTTCTCCCATGGAGGTCACTTCTGGTCATGGAGCTCCACTGAAATAGCTTTTTAAAAAGCTCTTGTGAAATGGGAACAGAAGTCAGGGATATGGTTCTGCTTCTTCAGCTAATGCTGTGCATTAAAGCTTTCACTAGATTTATAGTGACTGATCGCTTTTACATGGATCTGCTATAATCACTTCAGATTTGACCCTGAGGAGTGACTTCGGGAGCTTATGAAGGTTTATGAAAACTTGACAGTAGCCATTATGTCTGTGGGTTAATACCTTCAGGGGAAGCCCATATTAGAAAACCATCAGTTGGTGAAGTATTATGTATGTACAAAGGCACAGGTGTCTGTAGTGGTACCCCAGCTTTGGAATACCTTTGTGGTCAGTTGTACATGATGAGGTATTTTAAATTGGTTTTATTGCCTTCATATGCATTTTAATTATTCTGTTAGTATTATGAAGGACCGTGTGATACAACATACCACATTTATAATATATTTTATTGTGTACTGCCTTGAAATCTGTTGAAGGGTAGTTTAGGGATTCCTTAAATATGGAAGGAATTGTGGTAGGTTGCACCAGAGGTCATTTTATTATAGAATAATAAAGTTTATTTTATTTATTTATTTAGCAGACTTATATGCCGCCCCATTCGCCTAAGCCTCAGGGCGGCTTACAAGTTGTATTATATGACCTAGGTTCTCATAAGTATTTCTGGAAAGCACTGGGAAATCATCATGTTTATCTAAAACTAGTTGTCCTATTGCTGATTTTCCTTTAAACTGATTCCCTCTTGTCTGTTTACTGGAATCTTTTCCCTTTCTTTGCACTTATATTCATGCCTTGCTTGAATATAAAGGATTGGGATGGCTTAGTGGGGTTTTAGTTAAAGTTACCAAATCAGCAGTTCATTTAAAGTCTATGCAAATTACAGCTATTTACTTTTATCCACAAATTGTTGGACTTCCATCAGATTTCTGGGAAAAGAATGGGAGAGAGTCACTCTGCCCTTTGTTTCATACTTAGAATATTATCAGGTAGCTGTTAGCCAGCATAAATCGGGGCAAAGCGTAATGCAGAGACCACTTTTCCCCTGCAATATGAAACATAACTTGACAGTCTTTGGACAGATACTACCTATGTATAAAAATACCAGAGCTGCTTTTACTTGATAATTATATTAAAATATGTTTTATTTTTTATTTTGTCTTTCTGCTGAAAAAAATGGTGCTCAAAGAGTTGATAATGACTCAAATCTCTTCCCATCCTGATTGCTGCTATCTCCAAAGTTACATGCTTGTTAACCATATATGTTAACTTTTTGTTAACCAAAAGTTACATGCTTGTTACTGAAGTTTTTGATAAATTGTTCATCACCCTATTTATTCCTCTTCTCAGTTTTAAAGAAATATTGCTCCACCCTCCATTCTTGGTGTTTATTTTGTGAAATGGCCCACTGGGGTCAACAGATTATTTTAGATAAAGAAAACATGTACAATTCCTTATAATTAACATGAGAATTTAAAAATAGCAGTTTACCAAAGTCTGGGTTACTTTTACATTGTAAAGTTGTCATCCACATTCATTTAAAATGCATATAATGCAATTTTAGAATCATGTTATAGTATGTTCCTCTAGAATTTGCACTGAGTGTTTGGAGGAGCCTGCCTTCCAAATGAGCAGCTGCCAATATAAGTCTTAACAAGTCTTTAGGATATCCAAAGCTGTTTCCATAGGAGTCCCATCAGCTGTGTATCAAACTCCATTTCTCATTGGATTTTCAGACCATGTGAGCTACTATAATTATACTGTAATACCTAAACATTCAGAGACAATGCCACTCCTTTCAAAGTAGCATTACTACCGACACAAAGATCTTTACAAAAGGTGACTGTCCTTTAAGACCCCATTTTAAGCAGACAACTTTTTGTGAACAAGCCTAACTGGATCATCTTATCTACTTCAACACTTCCCCTGAGAAAAACTGTTCTAAAGTTGCTGTAGTAATCAGCCTTCCCCTGGGAACAAGTTGCATAAACGGTTTAAACCCTTTTCTTTCCATGACCTATATTGCGAGTACTTGTGCAGGGCCTATAATGCCAGATGATTACAAAGGGATATAACAGTGACACAGGGGGCACAGGGACCTTAGTTGCCTCTCTATTTGTAGCATGACTGTATTCTAGTATCCGAGCAGGCAAAAATTGAGTTTGAGAGGTTCAAAACAGTAACACTTAATAATGCACGTTGTTTCAAAGAATTTCCAGTATTACCTTTGGAACAATCTCAAGACAAGTTTAATTTTTCTCATTTGTATTTTTGTTGTCATAGCATGCTTCTGAATTTTCCCAATTTTGGGGGAAAACACCCTCTTCTCATCGATTTTTTTTTCAGGTCCCCACCGCAGGCCTTCATCATTCTAAAGAGGCATTTCCTCTGAATCAACATGCCCAACAGTTGAATATTAAGGGCTATATAATTTAATGTAATTTTATGTAATCAGTTTTGAGTCAGCAGCAGTAGTATATAACTATTTAGCCTTGTGAAAATACCAAAACACCTGTAAGTAGTACTGAAAAATAGCCTTTGTTGAATTGTTTCTTTCCTGTGTAACAGGCAAGCACATACCTTAACAGTCCTGTTCATCCTTACCTGTACTCTGGGATATGTGACCCTGCTTGAAGAAACCCCGCAGGATACAGCCTACAACACAAAGAGGTAATGAGAGTTCACAGAAGTATTGCACTACATTTTATATTATCATTTTTTCTGTTACATTTCTTTCAAACTTTGGATTTGGTCACAGTATCAGTACATTGTATATTTGGCAATGATTTCTTAGTCTTAATTTTAAAAAGAGCTTTTTTCTAAAATATGTAAATATTTAAGTTTTCCATATTAGATAATTTTGTTCTACTTTATCCTAAAATATTAACTTTTGTTGTTGTTTAAGGGGAAAACAGCTTTCCTTTTAAACCAATAATTGCTTATTGATTTAAATTGTTAGTTAAATGATTATTTGATAGTCCCAAAGACTACTCAGATAAAGAATATTGTATTTCCGCTTATGCTGAAAGCATTTCAGATTGGGATTGTAGTCCCATACAGGTTTAGTAAATCTGATTAACACGACTTTTGTGAGACAGAGATAGAATTGCACTCTGAATCATTTCTATATTTCTATAAGTATGTGCTTGTATATACAAGGGAGAACATATTGTTAATTTGACTTGAATCAAAATCAAAGCTGCATAAGTTTCAATGATATAAAATGCTTTTATATTGGAAGCTATACTTATTATATTGAAATTTTGGACTATATATTAGAACTACATGTAGATATCCTTCATATACACAAAGCTGCTGAATAGAAGCGTTGTTGTTGTTGTTAGTTGCGAAGTCACATCCGACTCATTGGGACCCCATGGACAACAGTCCTCCAGGCCTTCCTGTCCTCCACCATCCCCCGGAGTCCACTTAAGCTCACACTGACTGTTTCAGTGACTCCATCTAGCCTCCTCATTCTCTGCTGTCCCCTTCTTCTTGAATAGAAGCATAGGAAGCCATTTTATACAAAGTCAGACTGTTGATCCATCGTGCCAATATTGTTTAGGTTAATGGTAGGATTTCAGGCAAGAATTTTTCATGCAATACTAGATGAACCTGGGACACTTAGCGTACAAAGTATATGCTTTACTACTGAGCTACTGATATGTTGGTGGCTGATAAGTTGAGCCTGCTATTTATGACTAGCAAAATAGTGTTAAGAAGGAATATAAACCATGAAAAGTCTAGTGACTTTCTCAGCCACATTACAACAGGCTGCCATACCATCCTGCCCCATGACATCAAATGTTACCTAGACTCAAATCATTTTCAGTATTGTAATGGTAAGATCACAGAATTACAATAAAGTTAATTGACTGTGGCCCAAGTGAATTGTGGAATGGTGTGATTCAGGAGTCAACAAATTTTAGAATGTTTTTAGCTGCTGCCCCATTTTACTGCATAAGCTCTTTTGTTGAAACCCAATATATAAAAACCTGTGAATTGTTTAAAAATAGAGAAACCAGATTCTTTGTTTAGGATTTAAAAAAATATCAAATTGCTAGTTTTTCCAACTTAAAAATGATATAACTAATCTTATTATAAACATGCTAAACCTGCACTTATAGTCCCATGAAATTTGAATTTATCTACCAGTCAATTTCTGTTTTCATTGCATGCAAATGGCTCTGTCTAGCCTATCAATACATGTTTCTTAAAAGTTCTGGATTTTCTCTGATGAAAGTCACATGTACAAATACAGGGTAGTCGTTCTTTGTTTATGTGGTGAAGATACACCAAGCAAGGCAGAAAGGTAATAAATAACAAACAGGGTGAATACAAATAGATGCTTTAAAATAAGTTTCCATAATTGGATTTTCAAAAATTTGTTTTTTTCTGCCCAAAAACTTTCACACCTTGCTTTAATGTATTTATCATGGGCATTTCATTTTTGTTGTTTTCTTGTGAAGGCAAGGCTGGGCCAAGACAGATTGAAGGAGAAAGAAGTGGCATTAGAAAGAAAAAGAGATAAATTTATGAAGTGTCTGTCTTCCTATTTTTTTATGCTAAGGCTGCAATCCTGTACCCACTTAACTGGGAGTAAGCCCAATTGAACTCAGTTATTTTTTTCTGTGTGTATGTGATTTGCTTTTAAGTTCTAACTGTCATGGGTGCTGCTCATAACAAATATCCTATATGAGAATATTTTAGAGATATTCCCTATATTGATAAAAAGAAAAGAATGCAAAATATGTATGTGTGGCAGGAGATACAAAGAATTAAGGTAAATAATATTCTATGTAGCTGTAAATTTACATGGTTTAGTGGCTCAATTGCAATATTGTTCTGGAAATATATGAAAAGGTTTCATTGGGAAGTGTGCTCTAAGTTAACTTGGTTTAAATCAGTCACCGCTGTAATATTGATAAACTAGGAGCACAATCCTATGCAAATTGAGCCAAGAAAAGTCCTGCAATTCTCAGCATTCCACAGCCAGCAAGGGAATACTTGGAATTGCAGGACATTGTTCTGTCTAAATGGTAAGGATGGCATCTCTACATGTGTGGCAAATGTTATGTACAATTATACAATAGTAGAATTGGAAGGGGCCAGATGCCCATTGGGTCCAATGCCTTTGCAGTACAGGACTCCAAGTTAAACTATCTCTCTTAAAACTTGAGAGGAATCTTGAATGCCTCTAGTGTGGGAGAGCCTACAACCTCCCTAGTCTGTATCTTCTGTACTTGCACCTAGGAAAAAAAAACCAAATGCATTCTTACAATATGGGGAATACTTGGCACCAGCAGTACTGCAAGTGAGAAGCATCATGGAATTGTTGTAGATCATAAGCTGGATAATAGTCAGTGATATGATGTAGCTGCAAAAAGGACCAATGCTATTTTGGGCTGCATTAATAGAACTATCACTTCCTAATTACATGAAGTACTAGTTCCCCTTTACTCAACACTAGTCAGACCGCATCCAGAGTACTGCATCCATTTCTGGGCACCACAGTGGAAGAATGATGCAGACAAGCTGGAAAGGGTTCGGAGGAAGTTAACAGGGATGATCCAGGGACTGGATCTCCCCTCCTCCTATGAGGAGAGAATGAAAGAACTGGGCAGCTTCGAGAAGACTGAAGGGAGAAAGGATAGCACTCTACAAGTACTTGAAAGGCTATCCCAAAGAGGATGGGCAAGATATCAGTAATCCTAGACATGGAATAATGGCTCAAGTTATGGAAAGCCAGATTCTAGCGAGTTATCAGGAAAAATTTCCTGCCTGTTAGAGCAGTATGACAATGGAACCAATTACCTTGGGAGGCTCATTTATTTATTTAGAAAATGTGTAGGCCATCCATCACAGTCATCTCTGGACGGCTTACAACATTACTTCAAATCCTAAATAAAATAAATTAATCTCTTCTCATTAAAGAAGACCATCCAAATGCAATCTATCTGTTGCTCCACAAATTGCATAACTGTATCAGCTCTCTGGTAAATGCCAACTCAGTACAGTGAAGCATTTCAAATAAATATTCTCAGTTGAGCATTGAACTTTAATTCAGTATAATCTCACTGTAGATCATTGGCTGCATGTTCTTAACGTTGTCTGTTAATAATCCATTATTATCTTCTATCTATGTATAGCTGTTGGTTATAAACTGTGATAGATTTTCCCACATTTAAACTACCAGAAATATACTGATAAGAATCTTGGTCCTCCTGATATGCCTTCAGTCAAGTTTGTGAATTCTTCAGAGATTGACTGCATGTACCACAAGTGGCTTATCAGTTTGTGTTCCTGCACTCATTCATAAATGGGAAAATACTTTCCAATGTGAACTTAGGAAATAAGTCATTTAATATTTTTAGATCTTTGAAGTAACAGCTGCGATTGAAAAGGGAGAAAATAATACAGGGTGTTAACTTGCTGGATTTAAAGAGGTCCTTGTATTAATTTCTAGACTGTAAACTCCTCAAGGCAGAGACTTATCTTGTTTGCAAGGCCCCATGCATGCTGACAGTGCTATATAAGCATGTAAAGAATTAATTGATAACTATGCATTCAAGATAATTGAAATATCCTCGTTTTCATTTCTAGAATTCAGTGGTAGTTGTGCCATGAATTACTGTTAAAATATAAGCTGAATGAGGCTGAGCAATAAACTAGCAATTGTCAAGCCTTTGCAGAGTCAGGTAAGTGGCCAGTCCTGCCCAATATCACCCAATTGTCAGTAGTCTTAAGGCAGGGGTCTTGTCTCGTCCTGATATACACTCTCTTTAAATGCCAGAAATTTTGCTCACATTGTGATTGTGTGTAAGCCCTGAGCTCTGTTACAAGCTTCAGCCATCTCTCCAAGTGTGAGAACTATTGGATCTTGCAAATTTAGTTAGTGGTATACTCATAATGCTGTCTATGGAAGAGTTTCAGGTTGAGTCCTGAAGTAGATATTTCTGGAAATGTTGAAGTAGCCCAATTGTTTGTTCCCTGGATCCTGTTTAAAAGATTATTAAATTAACCACTTTCCAATCTTTTGGTACAGAATTCTTTTAAAACACTTAGATGGATGCTATCTGGACCTGGTGATTTGTTTGTTTGAATTAGTAAATAAGATCTATAACTTCCATCTTGTGTCACTACTTAGATCCTCAAACTTTTCCTGAAAATATCAGTTCAGTCATGGGTATCTGTCCTGTATTCTCCAAAATGAGGGAAGATGTGAAGAATTAATTTAGCTTTTCTGCAGTTGGCTTATCCTTGCTTAGTACTGTTTTATCTGCCAGGTTTTGCTACAATTGGACTTAATGTTGTTAGCAATAGGCATTTTTTCGGATCCCTTATTTTCTGCTTGTATTTCTTTTGTTCAACTCTGTATCCCTATTTTAATCTCATTCGTGCACAACTTCCTAAAGAAAGCTGTTTTACTATTCATGAGGTTGTGCAGGGACACAAACCATATGAGCTGAACAAAAACACCAAAACAGAGAGAACTGAACATGTGATTAGAAAAGAATGTATATCTGAATCATCGGCTGAGCAAAACTATTAGCCAGTACGCACCCAAGGATTCATACATGTACTTTACCAAACACATTTTGCAATTCCTTTACAGTATTTTTCTTAACACTCTGGCAATGCTGTACTTAATCCAGCATTGGTAAGTTGGA